TTCTGACCTTGGCAAAACGTGTGGCCATTCGAGGCATCCGGCAGACCAGTGGCGACGACTTGGGACGCTCTCGGCTCGAGGAGCACCGAGGCGTCCCGCTCTGACTTCGGCAAAACATGGCTGCCTCCATCACTTTCACCTCGCCACTGGTCAGCGCGTCCTCCTGCTGGTGGGTCTGGTTCGAGTCGCCGACGTCGCCTTGTGCCTTCTGGCGGAGCCCGCCTTCCAAGTACACCAAGAAATTCTGCCCGAATATTGTCCAGGGTGCGCCAGTGCTCCGCCACCAGCCTGTCCCTGCTGGCATGCTCGCCTTGGCGATCCTGCCACCAGATCCAGTTGATCATGCCAGCCCTGCGGTCCACCGTGTTGCTCCAGACGGCCTCGCAGATGTCCTCTGCGATGCGGTTGATGTGCTTGGCCTCGCCGTCTCTGGTGTCCTGGATGGCGCGTAGCCTTGCAGGGTGTCGGCGTAGGAGACGATTGACGACAGGTACGCACCACAGCTTCCATGACCTGTGGCTGCCCTCCGCCTCCGCCAGGTTGTAGACCCAGAAGCTGGAGCGCTCCTCCATGTGCCCCCTCAGGTCTTCCTCCTCGTCGATTGCGGCCTCCCACGGCGGGTCGCACATGTCCGCAGGCTGCTGTACTTCGCCCAGCTGCGCTGCGGGTGCTTGGCTGCTTCTGGTGCTGGTCCGACTCAGGTTGTCCCATGCTTCCCCGACGGCTTGACTTAACAAGAGCTCGTCGTGCTTGGGTTGCAGCATGCCTTCACTCTGGCCCAAGCACCATCTGCCGCCAGCGTGCCCCGCGTCGCCCTCGACGTGGGGGTCGTGGGCCGTGTCTGGCTCCTCCAGGTCGCTGCTGTCCGCTCGGTCGGCCCACGAGGGTGGCGGGTCGATGGCGGCAATGCCTGTAGGCGCTGGCCATCGCGCCCATGTCGTTGTCGTCTGGTCCTCCCCTGCTTCAGCTGGCTTGTCGTAGTCGGGCACCTCGTTGAAGGTCACGTGCTTCGTGGTGCAGCCCTGGGGATTCTGCGTCGATCTTCTTCCCTGCTTCTTTAGCTTTGCAGGGTGCTGCTGGCCCATGATCACGGCCGAGAAGTCGCGCAGCTGGCGGTAGTCCTGCAGTGCTGTTTGGCATGGGGCCACGACCCTGTCGCACGTGACCCTGCCTCTTCTCGATGCTTGCCACTGTGCTGTCCTCAAGTTGTGCCACGGCACTTGGTCGCAGCGGTTGGCCCACGCTGCCATCGTCACCATCAGCAGGATGTGGCCCAGGCGATTTCTGGCCCTCCTTGTGGTCCTTAGTAGCAACGCCCTGACATGGCAGAGATCCTGCGTCACTGGCGACTCCCATGTCGGCTTCGGCGCCGTGGGCTGAAGCGGAAACGCGTCCTCCGCCGCCTTCAGAAACTGGCCATCGAGGTAGTCCGCGTGGTCATTGGGGTGGACGTTCGCTGCCGGGTGCTGCACCTGGCCCATCAGCTCGTCGAACCTCACCTGGCAGGAGAACGTGGTGAGCTTGGTCTTGTCCACCTTGGGGCGCTGCCACCTGGGCGGTCCTTCACCATCGTGACCCTGTGGGAGCTGCGCCTCCAGGTCCACCACTGCGTGGTCCTTGTGGGAGACCGCGAACTCGATGTTGTCGTTAACCCCTTGATCGCCCACATGCTGTAGCAGCTCCTGTGGTACAGCGATGTAGGCGATGCGCTTGCCGTCCTCGGCAGACCTGGCCCTCGACGGAGTCCAAGTGGCGTAGACGTCGTTCCTGGACTGGGCCAGCGTGGAGGGCAGGCAGGAGTCGGTGCGCTTGACGTGCTTGCGGAGGCAGGCCCCTGGGAGGTTCTCCTTCTGCGCGCCGTACTCTCCGATGCCGCTCGTGGGGACCGACCCCACCTGGGCGTTGGCGTCGACCAGGGAGACTAGCCACTGGCTGGGGTCGGGCCTCTTGTCGACGATCCTTTGGGCGTGCTCCGACCAGTCCCTGATCTCCCCTGGGGGCCTGTGGCTATGTGGGGCATGTCCTACCAGGATGTCGCAGTGGAGGAAGGGCGCCCTGGTCTCGAGCGTGCCGACCAGGTGGTAGCCCGCGTCCCCGAACTGCTGCGCGAGGGACTCCATCCTTCCTGGGATGAGGACACCCGTAAAGGCTTTCCCCTTGCTCACCCTGGACTTCCTGGGGTCGAGCGTCAGGACATTGGCCACCGCCAGTCGTAGCTTCCGCGGCTTGCTGGGTTGCCCCTCCCCCCTCCTTTTGCCTCGGCCCTCCCCCTGCGAGCCAGGACAGGGACGGGGTGGCCTGGGAGCGGGCATCGACGTCTCTCGGCCTGAGGGGCAACACTGAGCCACAGCCAGGGCGCCTCCGGCAACACCTGCTCCATGCGCTCCCAGAAGTCGAAGTCGCTGGGCCACGCGATGAGGCCGCCTCTGGCCAGCTGGCGACGGCGTCGGCGAGCTCGTTCCACGGGTCCGCCATGTGGCCGCTGACGTGCGACCAGAGGATGTCCTCCGCGCTGTGCCTCGGCACCTTGACGATGCTATCCAGGAAACTGGCGTACGGCGCGTAGTGCTCCAGTGCGGCTCCTCCTCTCCCGATGTCGACCACGTAGTTGTTGTCGGTGTAGAAGCTGATCACTGGCAGCTGCGTGCGCATGCCCGTCTCGCCCACCGCCGTCTGGAGCTGCTAGAGCCAAAGGATCGCGGCAATCATCGCGCAGATCTCTGCGGCTCCTGACGGCTGGCTGAACTGGTCACCCAGCGTCGGCATCGCATCCCCCACCGTGCCGATGAGCACGAATTCGTCGTCGTGCGTGTAGCCCAGCACGACGAAGGCCCAGGCTGGCGGCCCAGGAAGATGGCCATGCGTGCTGCCGCCTGAGCCATCCGTGTAGATGAGCAGCGTCTCGAACAGGCTTGAATTAAAATCGCCCTGCAGACGCGAGCACTTGGAAAGTACTCCCTTGGTGGTGAAGGTACTGCTCTCCATGCTCGACGAACCCCTTGTCGATGGAGACTGGCCATGCTGCCCGCAGCGTGGCCATGGCGGCTGCTGTGTCTGGAATTGGCGTATCCACGCCACTCCTTGGCAGCGCCGCTGAAGGTGAAGATGAAATGGCGGCACTGTCTACCGGGCCACACCCCCCTGTCGCTTCCGTCGCCGCTGAAGACGGCAGCGGGGGCTGGCCCGGGAAAACTAGCCCAACGGCCGCCCGTTGACGTCCAGCCGCTGCCCCACTCTGACATCCCTCATGGCGTTCTCGTCGGCGGGTGGAGTCTGGCACTGCTGCAGCTCCTGCAGTGGGGAGCGGGCGGCTGCCACTTCGACCACGACTGGGTCGCCGTTCTCGTCCTTCATGACCTTGACGGCTCCCTCTGCACTGTCCGTGGCTGCACCTCCTGACGAAAGGGTCAGCCTCCGTTGGCCTGGCGGCGGAGGCTCCGCAAACGCCTTGGCCGGGGACTTGGCACTCTTGCCTGCGCTCTTCTGGCTGGTGGGCAGCTTCCCTCCACCTGGAACGGGGATCTCCTCCGCTCCTGCGGCCTGCGGAGGTTGGCCTTGGAGGGGCTGCCCATTGAGCGCCGCAAGGATCTGCCCCAGCGTGTCCTGCATGGACCCCATCTGTGTCTCCAGCTTCGCCACGCGGTTCTGCTCTTGGGCCGTGCCCGTGTGTGACCATGCTGGCCTCACTGGCATCTGCTGCTGCCCAGACGAGCCTCCGCCGTAGACGTCGTCGTCAGCGTCCTCGATCTCCTCGTCGCTGTCGTCCGGCACCGCCGCCTCCCTGGCGAACTTGTGCGAGGCTGGCTCCGCAGCGGCCGGGGATCCTCCCCCTGGCGGGTAGGCGCACCAGTGCTCGAGCTGAGCCATCTGCGCCATGAACTCCTGCGCGTGCTGGTACTCCTTCTGGGCCTTGGCTGTTTCCGCCTTGCACGCCTCTGCCGCCAGCTCCGCTGCGAACTGGGCGTCCTTGGTGGCCGTCAGCACCTTCTTGGCCTTGTTGACGAACTGTTCCTGCTTCTCCATGCGCGTGGTCGGGTCCTTAGCTAGGATGACCTGGCAGTGGAGCGCAGCGTACTCGTTCTCCGCCTGCTTGAGGCGTTGCGGGGATACCTGCTCTGGCGGCATGCTGCGGATCGCCCGTGCCGCCTCTGCCGCCGCCACCATCGCCTTGCGCAGGGACTCCCTGTGGCGCTTGAGTCCTGCGGCGATCGGCGGGGCGGTCAGCCAGCTGGGGTGATGCTGCGCCTGCTTCGGCAGCATGGGCAGGATGCCGATGTTGCCCGAGGCTGCTGGCACTCCTGCTCCTGCATCACCTTGGTCTCCTGCCGCAGCTCCTCTCCTCTGACCTCCTCTCTCTGCTGAAGCAGAGCGCTTCCTCCAAGGGGGCTAGGCCTTGTCCTTCTGGCCTCCTCCTCCTCCCTTGGGCGCTCCGCAGCCTCTGCATGTCGTTCTCGACGCGAAATTGTCCTGGCTGCACTTCACGAAGGAGCAGCGCCAGGTTGCCGTATGGCCTGTCGACCGCGACGATGCACGATCCCCAAGCGCCATCCTGCCGCTGCTGTGGTGCCTGTCCAGGAGGCCGGCAGTCGCGCCGAGCCGCGGGAGCACGCGTGCGTTGGCACGCTCCTTGCGGCGGCGGCGGTGCCAGGCTGGATCCGAATCGGGGCCGCGCGGCGTGGCGGCGCCCTTGGTCGCGCGACCGCGGAGGTCTCGCAGGCCACTGTGGCCTGCACCCAAACACCTCGAGCAGGTCACGGCGACTACAGGAGAGGGGAGGGAGGGAGGTGGAGCGTGGGGCAGGGGGGGAGGCGGAGGAGAAGGGCGGGAAATGAGGAGGTAGGAAAGGAGAGAGGAAAGAGGTAGAAAGGGAAGGGGGAGGAAGGGGAAACGAAGAAGAACAATGAGAAATAAGGAGGAGGAAAAGGAGAGAGGAGGAGGAGGAGGAAGAGGAGGAGGAAAAGAAGGAGGAGGAAGAGGAGGAGCAAAGCTAGGCCCCGGGCCGGGAATCCTGATTCGGCTGGTGGCCAGTCGGAACATGGCGCGGATCGCGGACTGCAGCTTCGACGGATTGGGGGCCGAAGAATCTCCGAGGTGAAGTGCTCCGCATTCCAGTCCTTCTCCCTGTCCACCTCCTTCACCTCCCTCAGTCACTCGTCCCTCGCCCCTCCTTCTTATTTCCCAGCCCTCCTGCGTTGGGCACTCATTTTAAATATAGCACTGCGGTCGCACACCTTCCCGCCCCATCTCCCCTTCTCTCCTGCCTCTCACCTCGCTCTCTCCTGCGTGCCAGTTTGCCTCCTACATGGCCATCCCTGTGGGGTTGCGATCTGCGAAACTATCTCGCCACTTTCGAAGGCTGCTGGGGGGTCCGGCGGACTGACGTGCTACGCAGATTCACGTTCGACCTCGCCATTCAGGTGAGGCTGCAATCTGCGAAGCCGCTGCCACTTTCGAGGGTTGCTGGGGGGGTCCAGCGGAGTGACGTGGTACGCAGATTCAAATTAAACCTCGCCGTCCCTGCGGGGCTACGATCTGCGAAACCGTCGTCATTTTCGAGAGCTGCTGGGGGGTGCAGCGGAATGACGTGCTACGCATATTCGGACTATACCTCGCCATTCCTGTGGGGCTGCGGTTTGCGAAACTGTCGCCAGTTTCGCAGGCTGCTGGGGGTCCAGCGGAGTGACGTGATACGCAAATTCAAACCAGACCTTGCCATTCCTGCGGGGCTGCAACTTGCGAAACCGTCGTCATTTTCGAGGGCTGCTGGGGGGTCCAGCGGAGTGACGTGCTGCGTGAATTCAGATTAAACCTCGCCATCCACGCGGCGGTGCGATATGCGAAACAGTCGCCAATTTCGAAAGCTGCTGGAAGGTCCAGCGGAATGGCGTGCTACGCACATTCTAACTACACCTCGCCATTCTTGTAGGCTGCGATATGCCAAACCGTCGCCACTTTCGAAAGCTGCTTGGGGGTCGTGCGGGGTGACGTGCTACGCACATCCAGACTAAACCTCGCCATCCCTGCGGGGCGGCGACCTGCGAAGATGTCGCCACTTTCGAAGGCTGCTGGGGGTCCAGCGGGGTGACGTGCTACGCAAATTCGGATTCGACATCGCCACCCCTACTGGGCTGCGATCTGCGAAACTGTCGCCACTTTCTAAGACAGTTGGGCGGTCCAGCGGAGCGACGTGCTACGCGAACTCCTACTAGATCTCGCCATCCCTGGGGGGCTGCGATCTTCGAAACTGTCGCCACTTTCGAAGGCTGCTGGGGGGTCCACCGTACTGACGTGCTACGCAGATTCACATTCGACCTCGCCGTTCAAGTGCGGCTGCAATCTGCGAAGCCGCTGCCACTTTCGAGGGCTGACGGGGGGTCCAGCGGGGTGACGTGGTACGCAGATTTAGATTAAACCTCGCCGTCCCTGCGGGGCTGCGATTTGCGAAACCGTCGTCATTTTCGAAGCCTGCTGGGGGGTGCAGCGGGGCGACGTCTTACACGGACCATCATGAAATCTCGCCATCCGTGGGGGGCTGCGATCTTCGAAACTGTCGCCACGTTCGCAGGCTGCCGGGGGATTCAGCGGAGTGACGTGTGACGCTGACCAGTCGGAGACCTCGCCATCCCTGGGAGGGGCTGGGATCTGCGAAACTGTCGCCACTTTTGAGCGCTGCTGGGGGGTGCAGCGGCGTGACGTCTTACGCGGACCAGTCCAGCGGAGCGACGCCCTTTTCTGTTACATGGGGGTTGTTTCGAATTCCGGGGTCGTCGCCACGAAAGAAGCAGAGAAGCTGGCGGGCGAGCTAGGCCACGCTCGTTTCATGCACTAACCATAAGCAGGTTGAAGCATTGTTTCGAGCGCCGCGGCATGGCGCACGCAGCGATGCATCTGTAGGATACTACCGCCAAAAGCAACATTTTTCGGTCTCCTCCCGTCACTTTCGTCGTCGTCCTCTGCCCTCCACCTTCCCTCTGCTGCTGCCGCGCTGACGGTTCGGCCTCCCAAGCAGACTTCTCCTTTTCTTCGTTCCCACCCCCATGTCCTCCTAAAGCCTGGGCCCTCGTTCCTCGTCCTTCTGTTGTTGTCCTGTGAATCGTGCCACGTGAGTGCATCCCGTGCAGCTTGCTCAACACATAACGGCGCCTGTACCGTTATTGTCCTGGCAAGTTTGGGCTACTCACCGTGTGAGGGGTGCGCCAAAATGGGGCGGAGCCACCATGCGAACGCTGCCACTGGCGCCTTCGGTGGAGCTCCCTATGGGGCCACGAAGCGCTGTACTGGGTCGGTGAAACGCAGGGAGGAGGGGGGAGGAGGGGGAAGAGGAGAGGAGAGGAGGAGAAGGAACGCGGGGCGACGTCTCTTCAAAACGAGGACCCAACACCACAGGATGGTTGGGAAAAACATCACCCTCCCGGGGTCCGGCGGGACAGCGGGGGGAAGGCAATCGCACCGCACTGTGGGGGAGGGGGATTCGCGCCCGGGGTCGCCATGGACGGTTTTTGGGCCTCAACAGCCGCACTATCGTCACTATATGAACTTTCACCGCGCGCCCCCTTTCTCAACGAAAAGGCTCCCATCCGTGAATCAGTCAGATAATCAGTCGTCACTTTTCAGCCCCCGCGAGAAGCTTCTTAGAGGGCCCACGGAGGCTCCAGGAGGGTCCCATGGCGGCCTCGGGAGAGCCTACGACATTTCAGGAGGCCCCCAAGAGGACCCACTCTGCACCGCGCCCATCAAAGGACAGGCTCCCATCCGTGAATCTGTCTTTGAGGCTTCTGAGAGGGCCCACGGAGACTCCAGGAGGGTCCATGGCGGCCCCAGGACCCCCCAGGAGGAGCCATCTTGAATTATACTCAGGAGGTTCAAGAAGGCCCAGCAGGCTCCACGAGGCCCCAAAGAGCCCAAACGGGCCACAGGACTTCCCAGGACGCTCTAGGAGGCCCAAGGCGACACCAAGAGGCTCCAGGGCGGGCGGGATTCCCTCTCCTCCTGCTCGTTTTCGTCATCCTCCCCCTTCTCATCCGTTCTGCTCCTAAGCATTCCTGCCTCCTCCTCCTTCTCCTCCTCTTCCTCCTCCTCCTCCTCTTCCTCCTTCGTCTCCTCCTCCTCTTCCTCATGCTCCTGCCTCTCCTTCCCTTCCTCCTCCTCCTCCTCCTCCTCCTCGCCCTCTTCCTCATCCTCCTCCTGCGGTTCCTCCTCCTCCTCCCTCCTCCTCCTCCTCCTCATCATCATCATCATCATCATCATCATCATCATCATCATCATCATCATCATCATCATCATCATCATCATCATCATCATCATCATCAGCATCATCATCATCACCATCACCATCACCATCATCACGATCATCGTCATCATCATCACCATCACCATCATCACCACCTCCACCACCATCATCATCATCATCGTCATCATGATCATGATCATGATCACGATCATGATCATGATCATGATCATGATCATGATCATCATCATCATCATCATCATCATCATCATCATCATCATCACATCATCATCATCGTCGTCGTCGTCTCTCCCCATCCCCTCTTCCCTCTTCCCTCTTCCCTATCCTCCTCCTCCACCCCCTCCACCCCCTCCTCCACCCCCTCCTCCTCCTCCTCCACCTCCTCCTCCTCCTCCTCCTCCACCTCCTCTCTGGGCTAATGGGGGCGCTCCGCCGCGCAGGTTCCCCCGGCCCCCCGGCTTGCAGTCGTAGCACATGCACCTCAGCGCGCAGTCCGCCCAGCTGCCGCTGGGCTCCTGGCGCGAGGCAGCCGGAGGCGCGCCCTCGGAGGCCGGGGCAGGAGGGAGGAATCGAAGAAGCGGAGTGAGGAGTGGGAGGGGGGGAGGGAGGAGGGAGGGAGGAGGGAGGAGGGGGAAGGGAGGGGGAGGAGGGGAGGGAGGGATGGGGAGGGAGGGAGGCAGGGGAGGGAGGGAGGGAAGGAGGGAGGGGGGAGGGAGAAAACGGAGGGACGAGGGAGGAGGTGGAGGGAAGGCGAGGGAAGAAAGCGAGCGGAGGAACGACGATTGCGAGGAGGAGGTGAAGGAGGAGCAGGAGGAGGACCGCGGTAAACCCAAGATGCACCAGCGATGCTGCAGTACACCCTCCAGTCCAAGGCCCTCCCCTGAACGCCTTCCTTTCAATGGAGAAGCGCCCCCTCCAAAGAACAAAGCCCTATGGGCCTGCCGTGCAAGCGAAAGCCCCATGCTGAACGAGAGCTGCCTTGCATCCTCATAGCGCGTAACCGTCGATGCAAACAGGTGCGACCATACAGTTTGACGAGATGTGTGCAATGAGATCCCCATTTCGAAGAAGTGCCGTCCCCCTCCGTGAATCTGTCGCGCGCAACTTCTGGTCATGAATTCCGAAGAAGTCTAGAGCGAGAACCCCATGCTGAAAATGAGCTGCCTTCCATCCGCGCAACATCTACATATGTTGAAACTTCTGCCCCTGCGATTTAAAATAGATTGTGAAGCGCGAGCCCAAAATTTAAAAGGAATCGTCACCCATCCTTGTAGCAGTTAAGATTTAAAGCGAGTGCGCGAGGTGCTCAGCCGACGGCCCATTGTGAAAGGGAACCGCCATCCATCCGTGTAACTATTGCGCACTTTGAAGACGAATGTGCGCGGAGCTGAGGCGAGAGCTCCGTTTTTGTTTAGCCCGCCCCCTTCATCCTTCTAACCACTGCAAACTCTCAAGACGAATACGCGCGCTGCTAAGTCGAGAGTCCTATTTTGGAACCGACCCGCCCTTCTATCCTTACATATGTTACAGACTTGTAAAACGAATGCGCGCTGCGCTAAAACGAGTTCCATTTTGAAAACGACCCACCCTCCATCCGTGTAACCCTTTCGTCCTTCAAGTTTCAAGGTCTTGAACAGTGATGGGGGTCTCAAGCAAAACGCCCAGCCCGTCGCCCATCGGAGCTTGGACTCGAGTCACGCTTCCTGCGGAGGACCTCCACAAAACCGTCGACACACAAGGTCTAGCCGGGCACGTGAGAGACGGGAATGACGCAGTCGCGAAGCTGTGCACGCGCGTCTTCATCCCCTGGGCGGGCTTGGTGACCCTGCCCCCTGGGACGATTTGATTCCGCACCAGTTTCCCGATGGTCTTGCATGGTGTGGCCCTGCTGGTCGCAGACGCCCCCCCAAATGCAAATCCCTTCTCCCGATGAGCCCACGCACGTCGATACTGGTATAATGTGTTACCCCTGGCGGTGTTTCTGACCATGGAAAGGGTGCATCCGCGCTGCGCATCTCCAGTGTCTGGGTCAACGCTGGCGCGCTATTGCGTACTGAGGCAAGCGTGAACCCTGGGGCATCAACGAGCTGGCATGTGCTCACATCGCTTTCCCGAGTGGTGGCAGAAAGATAGTGGGGAGATCGGAAAAAAATAAGAAAACGAGGTGGAAGCCGAAGAGGATAGGGAGGGGACGAGAGGCGGGGGCAGGGGGGAGGCATGGGTCAGGAGGCAGGGGTAGGGGAGTTGGAGACGGAGGGTGGCAGGAATGATGATGATTTTTGGAGGGGGAGGAGGAGGAGGAGGAGGGGGAGGAGGAGGAGGAGGAGGAGGAGGAGGACGACGAGGAGGAAGAAGACGTGAAAGGAGGGCGACAAGGATAATGACGAATACGAGGATGAGGACGAGGGGGGGGGGAGAGGCGGAGAGGCTCGACGAGGAGGAGGAGGAGGAGGAGGAGGAGGAGGAGAAGCAGCAGCAGCAGCAGGAGCCAGACAACGAGGAATAGAAACAGGAGGTGGCATACGAGGCGGTGTGGGAGGATGCGGGGGGAGGATATCACGAGGAGGGCCGCGGCACCTCGTCAAGGAAGTAGATCATGCACACCAACACCTCGGGTGTGCTGAGGGGATGCGCCGACCTCCTCCTCCTCCTCCTCCTCCTCCTCCTCCTCCCCTTCTCCTCTTCCATGCTTTCTCCTTACAGATCCGCGACCGTGCCTCTGGCACGAAGTGGAGTGCTCCAGGACTCATGCAATACTGAGATGTAGATGCTGTGCTGCTGCTGTTGCGAGAATTGTAGGTCTGCAAGGGACCAATCGTTTCCCTGGCCTTTCCGGGGTTCTCAGGGCTGGCTCCCGTGTGGACGATGTGCCCCCCCAAAAGCGACCTCCCAGACCCTCCCGTGAGTCCCAGAGGGCCCCGAGTCGCCGAACGATCGCTTCATGATGCTTAAGATGGCCCCCCAAAGGCCCCGAAGAGGCCCCCAATAGGCCCCAAAACGGCGCCCAAGAGGCTTCATAACTGCCTCCATGAGGCCCCCGAGAGGCCCCCCACGAGATCCCAACGAACATCCAATAGGTTTTATACCCACAACCCAGGCACGGTGGCGGGATGGGTCGAAGGTCATTCGATAATTCTTCCTCGTCTAACCTCCAGCTAGACGTGTCGGCAGGGCGGGCCAGACGTTTCGCCTAGGACTTCTTCCCCATTTGTGGCGCGAAGCTTGAACAGTTCACCAGTGACACGGATGATGGAGGTGGATCGTGTTCAAAATGAGGCTCTTCCATTCCTCCTTGGCGCCACGCACGTTAGTCTCAAAAGCTTGCAACGTTTACACGGATGGAGGGGCCGTTTCCAAACTAAGTTGCTTGCCTAGCGCCGCACACATTCGTCGAACCCTAGCGCCCTAACCACGTCAACGGGCGAAGACGCAATGATTCACCAAAGCAAATGAAGCATACCCACGAACAGACTACATGCGCGAACGACCCGAGAAATTGATGTTGGCAGCTGGGAGGTGCCGGCGACATATGCATGCTGTATTAAGCCTTGTACGACGCAGACGATCGCTTGAGGCGGATAGGGGGAGAGGAGGCTGAGAAAAGGCACAGTCAACCCATAAGGATGCACGATAAAGATGCAAGGGCCTTGGAAGGCCATGTTGACACTTTGCGAGCGGGGCGCGGCCAACGAAAGCAGCCAAGGATGGACCGAGGAGGCAAGGATGCAAGGGTACCCTTGGGAAGGCTGCCAATCCTTACTATGCGGGTGAACTGAAGGGTAACGATGGGTCAGTTGCACCAGGAGCACACACACACACCACACACGCGCGCACATTGCACGCATGATTATGGGACGCACCAGGTTTGTGGAAGGAGTGAACCGCCAAGCGAACAAATATAGAATCAGTTCGTTCTGCAACTCCTCCTCCCGCTGCTACTCTGGCAGGGCAGCTCTGGCATGGTAACTCTGGCATGTTGACGTGCTGACCAGTGCCCTCCGATGACTCTACAAGATCGAAGTTCGCACCTTTTTGGGCTTGGTCTTTGCGACCAGCCTGGCAATGTAGTTCTGCACTCGGTTCTTGAACAAGTCAACGAAATAACCTGTGAGGGAGGGGGTGTGAAGCCCTTCTATAATCAACCCCGCTTACTCCTCATCCTCCTCCATGCTCCTCGTTCCGACACCTCGTTATCCTCCTCTTCGGGCAACGGTGTCGGCGGGCCTTTCTTGGCAAGGCAAGTACCCCTGGCCAAGTGCAGTGACCCTAAATCCAGAGGGGCTGTATCAACAATCGATGCAAAACATTTGTAACAAGGAAACGGAGAAGCAGAAGGGCACTGATGAGTCGCCACCGTGCCCCATGGCACGCTGAGGCTTGCTAGAATGTCAAATGCTGCCTGGCAAGGCTTGTGTCATCTTCTGAAGGGCATCCCACTTCCCGGGTCGCACCCACCCGCGTGCACCACCACTCCTCCACGACGTCACAATCCCCCACAAAATTCAAGTGACTCGCGCTCCCGAGGCCCAGATGCCTCCAAGACGGCCGATACCGCTCCAAGACGGGCCACGTTAGCCGAGAGCCTCAAGAGCCTTCTCAAGAGGGCCCCGAGAGGCAAACATCGGTGATTGTTCTTAGGTTGCTCAGTGTGTTTTGGGTTCTCGCCTTTTCGAGCTTCCGACGTCCGAAGACGACCCCAGAGACCCCCAGGACTGCCCCAAGACGGCCTAAGAGGCCCCTAGGAGGGTCTAAGACGGCCCAAGAGAGCTCCAAGACGATCCCAGGGGCGCCGAAGAAATCCGAAGAATGCCCTGGAGGGTCTCAAGACGGCCCCAAGAAAGGCACAAAGAGGCGAACACGAACCGACAATTCGAGCCTTCCGCCTCAATAGGGCTCAGGAGGCCCCAAGAACGCCAAAAGAGGCCCCCGAGAGGGCCCCGAGGAGCAAATCCATTAATGTCCCGTCGCTTTTCCAATGCTCGTTGGTTTATTGCCTTTTCGAGCTTCCGACGCTCAAAGACGACCCAAGAGCCCCCCAGGACTCCCCCGAGATTGCTCAAGCGACCCCCTACAGGCAGGCGAATACTGTTGGTAGTGCAATTTTTGAGCGCATGTGGACACATCGAAAGAGCGTGCTCACGCCCTCCGGATGGGGCTCGGGCCCGGGCTCTGTCTCGAGCTCGCGCTCGGGCTCGGGTCTCGGGGTCGGGCTCGCGCCTGGGCTCGGGCTCGAGCTCGCGCCCGAATTTTTGCGCGCGCGCACGAACGCGCTTGTTGTTCGTCAGCGGCGAGGCGGCGAACTCCGCTCCAGCGAGAAGCGCACGGACGCGCACGGACGCGCAGGCTCGCGCACGGACGCGCAGGCTCGCGCACGCCCGAGCGCGCGTGCGCGCGCACGCAGACTGGCCCGCTTTTGCGGGCGAGGCGCGGCCACAGCGCTGCAGGACGCCCAGTCCTGGCCCCCCCCCGACCGTACCTATATCTGAGTCGGGCCTGTCCCTCTACAGGAAGCACATCCAAAACAAATCCAGAAAACAGTATGGAGACGATTTCTTGACTATCTTTTCGCATGTTTGAATGAACACTTTTGAACTATGCTATATGTTTCGCCCCAAACCCGCCTGTAGGAGGACATGCCCCAAACCCGCCTGTAGGAGGACATGCCCCTGAGCCCAAAAACGTTTTCATCTCTTGGGGGCACGTCTTTCACTTCCGCCACCTTCCGCCGCCCTTCCGCCGCCCTTCCGCCGGCGGAGGCAGCCTCCGTTCACTTCCGCCGACCTTCCGCCGCCCTTCCGCAGCCTTCCGCCGCGGAAGGGATGACAACTCCTTCGATCCTCGAAGGCATGGCCCTTTTCGAAACGCCCCATATGTTGATAGGCCTAAACGGGGTGTGGTTCCAACGACGACTTTTACTCGGGAGAGTGGCTCCAGCAGAGTCTGCCGTCAAGAAGGATGGGCTCCAGCACCCAAACTTTACGAGGCGCGGTGCTTCCAGCAACCCACGGCGCGGGTTCCAGCACCCAGTCGTAGAGGGCAGAAAATCCCCCCCCACCATAACCACCCCGACAAGCAAGGCCGTTTAGTAAACTCACCCAGAGAGGGCATCGAACAGGGCAGGGCTGTGCAGCTAAACGCCCAGGGCCGCTCAGGAAACGCCGATTGTCCGGTCCGCGTGGGTGGCTTTTCCTCCCTTGAAGCTTGGAGGAGGGAACGAGGTGGTTCCAGAAGGGTGCGCCGCCGAGGGGGATGGGTCCCAGCGCCCCGGTGCTTCCGAGGTGCAGTGGCTCCAGCAGCCCGAGGCGCGGGCTCCCGCAGCCCACCCAGTTCTGACGAGGGAAACGCCGCTCCGGCAGCTGATGCTGCCATGACCAGGTGGCCACATGTGAACCCCACCCCCGCCCGCCACGATTTCTAAGGGGGGTGGGGGTTCACTCCGCTCGGGGGCTCCCGAACGAAGTGAACCCCCACCCTTAGAAATCGTGGGTGGGGGGTAGGGCTCACATGTGGCCACCGGATGACGGGCGGGCTGCCGTCTGAAAAAGCAGCTCGGGTGGCGGCCCGCGCCCAAGCCACGAGCGTTCTTCCAGTCCGTCAAAAAATCACTGGCAACATAGTCAACTACGGCAAATTCGTGTCGTGACGACACTGGCGCTGCATCCTGACACCGCGTGGATCGCTCAACCTCGAACGATCGGCCGTTTCCGAAATGTCAGATCATTCGACGCCGACCGATTTTGGGCCGCCAGCGGCGTCCAATGTTGAACGCCAGCATCGGGGTCGCCGCCGGTCGACACGACGCGAACCTATCGTAACAGTAGAGAGCTCCAAGACGGCCCAAGAAGGCTCCAAGACGGCCCAAGAGGCGCCGAAGACCCACTGCCCAAGAGGGCCGCAAGACGGCCTCCAGAAGGGGCCCAAAAGTGGGAGAACGAACCAAGAATTCGATCCGTCCGCCCCAAGAGGCCCCCAGCAGGCCCTCTTGCCTTCTCGAGTAGTTGCCACCCAGAATGGAGCGCTGGCACGGTTGCGGAATTGTCAGAGGCGACTGGATAGTAACGTAGAGTATGATCCTGCTGATGCTGATGCTGCTGCTGCTGCTGGTGATGACGATGATGATGATGATGATGATGATGATGATGATGATGATGATGATGATGATGATGATGATGATGATAATGACGATGAGGATGAGGATGATGATGATGAGGAGGAGGAGGATGAGTATGAGGGAGAGCAATAGAAAAGGTAAAGTAGATAATGACGATGGTGATGATGATGATGATGATGATGATGGTGATGGTGACGACGACGATGAAGACGATAATGATGATGATGCTGATAATGATGATGCTGCTGATGATGATGGTGATGATGATGATGATGATGATGATGATGATGATGATGGTGACAGTGATACTGCTGATGCTGTTTATTATGATGATGGTGATGATGGTGGTGGTGATGGCGGTATTGATGATGATGTGAGGGCAAAGAAAGAGTTGAATGAGAAGGATAACAATACTGAACATCAGGAGGAGGAAGAGGCAGAGGAAAAACATGATGAGGCGGATGGGGAGGGAAAGGGGAGGAGGGCGGAGAAGGGGCGGGCGAGGAGGCGGAGAAAAAAGGAGGAGGCTGGTGTGTCTGGTCAGCTGGCCCAGGAACGAGCCTGAGAGCGGAATGGATGAGAAAGAGGAGGCCTCCGGTAGTCTCCTCATCATTCTCCTCCTGCTTCACCTCCTTCTCCTTCTCGCCTCCGAGTGTACAATCACCTTTTCGAACAAGTGCGTCGCTGCTCCAGCGCTGAGGATACTCAGCGAACCTACAGTGCGTATTGACTCGAGCGCTGCACGCCGAGGATGGCATGGAAGTGGTAGGGAGAGGCACGGTTAGAAGGTGATGAAGGATTTTGGCGCTGCCAGCGTCAATCAAGGAAGCGATTGCCAAACACCAGCGCCAACAACACTGGAACCTCACTCCTCGATCAACCAATCTCCAGCCGCCGTCATAGTTTGAATGGCATCATCATCGTCATTCCAAGTGCGAGGTCCACTCCAGTTCGTTCGTAATGAATTGTTCCGATGGCGCCCAAACTTGTACTGCTTAGCCACTTCATCACTCCAATCAGATTGGTGAATCATGACAGACATCTTCTGGCCTCCCAAACAATTGTAGTGTGTGGCCCACGCGCCGGGTATACCACATTGACCAACCATGGATGGATTAAACATGCCAACGTGCACCCAGAAGTTCGACGTTGTCTTAGCTAGATCAAGGAACGCACTCTGGTCCCCTGCAAAACTCGAAACAAAGTCGAGGTTCACGTCGGTCCACCTTACGTTGAGTAATCAAGAAAACGCAGACTCGGATGCGAGAGGGCACGATCGTGATTCCTTTCTAACTGGGGTGTGCGCAACGGGGCGCTTCCACAATGCAACGAGCAAACATACGTACACATTCGCGCATTCACCCCACCCGACGCTGAACATCGAAAGTCGAGGGCAAGGGACAGAGGGGGGAGGAAGGGAGAAAAAGGAGGGGAGGAGAGGAGGACGCAAAAGGATGGGATAGAGGAGGAGCAGGAAAAGGGCTCATGCTGCCCCAAAAGTCGAACGTGATTGCTGGCGCGGACCCCAAACCATGGGTTCCCACACTCTCGACGTGAGGTGCAATATTTGTACTGCGCAACCTGCGTGTTGCACTTTGTGCGGCGCAAGGTCTACGATGCAATAAACATCTTGTATGTTATGTGGTACAATACATGTGGGGCGCTCTATGTGGAGCACTATGTATTGCGAACACGATGTGCAACCCATGTGGTGCTATCTACGGGGCGCAAGGTGTGTAGTGCAATGGGCGCGGTCCAAATCGCCTCTAGTCATTGGGGTTTGAGGCTTGTTTGGGCCCGCTGTGTCTTGAATGGAAACAGGCATGGCGTCTTCCACCTCTTTCTGGCGCGTGTGTTTTCGGGCTTCAGGCGCAAAAAGGGCCTGGGGGAATCCCTTTGTGGATGGTTACGGGTGAACTCCCCTTTTCTAGGTGGTTACACATACATTCCTTTGTGTGGGGAGTACGAAGAAATTCCCTGTGTGGGTGGTTACACCTAGATTCCCTTTGTGCAAAAGGTTAGGCATCGATTCCGTTTTTGCGGGGGGGGGGGGGCACATTGATTCCTTGTGTGGCGGATGTGGGAGGGTCTGGCCCTGGGGAAACGCCCCAGCAACAAACGGGCCCCTGAATCCACTGATACATCTTTTTGGCTGGCCCGCAGCAGCAAGACAAAAAAACATGACCCATGGAGCAATGGGATGTTCTGTTCGTCCCTCGAGCCTTCCCCCAGGGCCCCGCCCCTGGAGGAAGCTGGCTGGCAGAGCCAGGGGCTCCTTAGACAAGACTCCTTACTAAGGGTTCCGTATTGAATGTTCCTTATTAAGGTTTCCTCGGGGTGGATTCCCCAATGCGAATTCCTCGGGAACGGCTTCCGCGCAAAAGGGTTCCTTAGCCAAGGTTCCCCACGAAGGAATCCTTACTACAGGTTCCGCACGACAGATTCCTGAACTCATATTCCTTTCGGATGGTTCCTGAATGGAGGTTCTTTGCTAAGGATCCCGCAGTAAAGAAAAGTTCCTTGCGGCGGGCCCTCCGCCACGGTTCCTTATTACAGATCCTTAGTAACGTCCCTCATTGGCGATTCCTTAGTACATGTTCCTCCCTAAAGATTCATTACTACATGTTCTACACCAGGGACTTTGTTTAACGAACGGCGTCGTATTACCTAACCCAGAAGAAAAGGTTCTTACTACGTAATCCGCAGTACTCACTCCTTAGTATGGATTCCTGTGCATAGATTTCGGTTTAAGGGTTCCTTACCCCAAATGCCTTAGTGTGGGTTCTTCAGTAAAGACTCTGGATTACGGGCTCCGTAATTAAAAAGATTATCACGGACCCCCCCCCCGCAAATATTCATTATGAAAGGTTCTTCCATCAATATCCATGACAAAAGATTATGTGGCAAACTTCCCTTATCAAATATTCCTTAATTCAGGTTCAGTACTAACTACTCCTATTCCTTTTTCGTTTAAGCAAGGGTTCCTTCAGACAGACTCTGGTGCATACTCCTTACTCGGGGTGCCATAACAAAGAGTCCTTTTTGAGATCCACGAGTAATTTTTCCTTCGTAAGGATTCCCAGGTACATTCCTAGGTACTGCTCCCTTATGAAGGAAAAACTCATTCATGTAGTTTCCGTATTAACGGTTTGTTTCATGGGTTCATGGATGTTTCACGTTTATCCGTATTAACATCGTGTTCTTATGAAGGATCCATCCGCAATGGATCCTCATGAGGGTTAGCGCAGACTCCATATCTAGGTTCCTCACTATACTTCAGTTATGGAAGATTCCTGCGTAAATATTCATTTTCACCGGGTGTCCCAATAAAGGTTCCTCACGAAAGATTCCTAACTGCATTTTCCTTATTAAGGACTCCCCAGTAAATATCATGTTGCAAACGATGCTCAAGTACACGTTCCTCACCGAAGATTAGTTGTGCATATTCCTGTCTTGACGACTCCTGAATAAAAGGTTCCTTATTAAATATCCCTCACCGAAGAACCCTGACAAAAACGATTTGTTATTCAAAAACTCCTTAATAAAATCCATGACTGTGAATTCCATATTACACTTTCCTTATAAGGATTCCTTATTCCACATTCCATATGACAGATTCCTTGGTACATGTTCCGTATTCAGGGTTTCTCATTCCAGATTCCTCAATGAGGATCCTTGAGTACAGATTCCATATGAAGGATTCCTTCGTAAGTATTCCTCCGTGAGGGTTCCTTAATAAAAGTTCATCACCAAGGATTCTGCAATAAAAACTCCTCACTAAGGATTCGTTAGCAAAGACTCCTTAAGGATTCTCCCGTGAAGATCCCTCATTCAGAATTCCTTGCCAAAGATTCCTGATGATACATTCTTGAATACAGATTTATTATTAAGGATTCCTTACTGCAGTCTCCTTGTGAAGAGTTCCTTGGTAAAGACCTCTCATGAAGGATTCCTAGGTAAAGACTCTTTATTACGGATTCCTTATTGCGAATTCCTTCGGGTCTTTACTAAGGAGTTTTTCCTTCAAGCCGCAGGGGGCCCAAATGAACCTCTAGCCATATATAGCATTCGTCATGCAATGTGCTCGCGCGAACATCCGACCCTCTCACCCGCAAGTTGCTTCGCGAAGCCCATTCGACTACGATTGCGGTTGCCGATTGGAGTTTGCTGGCGCATCTGATCGCATCAGTGCGGCCGCACTGGCGCGCGCCCTCTCACGCGCAAATCGGTCAGCTGGAAATGATGTGGCCGCGATGGCGCTTACCAATGGGAGCTCCCCGGCGCGTCTCAAAGGCCGCGCCGGCGCGCGGGCACTCCAGTGCGGGTCGATGGCTCGGGCGGGCGGGATGTCATGATGACGTCGGCAACGGCGAAAGAGTCGACGATCACGACGATGACGGCGGTGGTGGCGATCCCGACGGTGATGATAATGGTGGTGATGATGATGATGCTGATGATGCTGATGCTGATGCCGATGCTGCTGACGATGCTGATGCTGATGCTGATGCTGATGATGATGATGATGATGATGATGATGATGATGTTGTTGGCACCGATGACGCTGAGGACGATGATAACTACTGCGCTGATGGAATTGATGAGAAAGTGCGCTCCCTCAGAAATCCAGGCGTCCTGACGTGATCTCGACGTGCGCGCGCGGAAGAGTGCGCGCGTGGCCCGCATGGTCGAGGTATCATCTGACAAAGTTGGTGTGCGTCCGATGATGGTTTAGACTTTCCGACGTGCGCGCGCGAGGGGCCCAAATGTGGGACGCACAGGGACACACTAGTACTATCTGTTCTCCTTAGAGGCGCGTCCGACCCGCACACATCGTGTACCCATCTTGTAGTATATCCTTTCCCGAGTGGTGTGGCCAGAAAGCGCCCGCCACACGCGCATATACTACAAAATGTGTCGGTGTTCAGGTCGCCCCTGGGGAGGGGCGACGCACACATAGCATTAATATGTTGGGGTGACGCCGAAGATGGTCTGATGTGAAAGAAGAGCTAAAACAAACAAATGTTTTCTTGAAGTTTCAACGACTGCACGCAGAACTCTAGAAACTCAAATCGAAAAGCCGACAGCTTTCAGTCGTTTTGGCTAGACATGTCTGACATTGATTCTTACATATAGCTAGACGAAAGACCCAACAATATGCAGTTGTGAGTGCCGTAGTTGGGAGTATCGTCTTCGGTGAAGCCCACAATGGGGCCTCGCAGCGTGTGAGCGGTGCGCCAAACAGGTGAAGGGAAGACATGCAGGCTCTCGCACTGAGGCCTTAGGTGGAGCCCCATTTGGGGCCACGAAACGTGTGAGTGGTGCGCCGACATGGTGAGGAGAAGGCATGCGGGTCCTGGCACTGGGGCCTCGGGTGGAGCTCCCTCTGGGGCCACGAAGCGCGTGAGGAGTGCGCCGAGATGGCGTGGAGGAGGCGTGCAGGCCCTCAACCACTGGGGCCTTAGTTTCTGGGGCCGCGAAACGTGTGAGGGGTGCGCCGAAGTCGTGTGGAGAAGACTTGCAGGCCCTGGCACTGCGGCCTTATTGGCAGAGCTCCCTCGGGGCCCACGAGACGTGTGAGGGGAGCGCCGACATGGTGTGGAGAAGGCATGCGGGCCCTGGCGCTGGGACTTTAGGTGGAGCGCAGCAGGGGGCCGCGAAGCGCAAGGTAGCCGGACACAGAACGCTACATCATGACACCCTCGACCCGCCGATCAAAACCCCCAGGTGTACCTCGTGCTTCCACTAAGTGGGCCACCACTCGAGCACTTCAGTGCCCGACTTGGACGCGAGCACCACTCCTGTGTTCGGATTGTGGTAGCCATGGTTCTCGCTTGCGACGATAACCTTGTAGTTGTGCTGCTCTCTGATCTGCCTCGACAACTTGAACAAATCATGGTACATTACCACGTCCGTGTCGATCATGATAACGTCGTGCTGAGAGGCCCTCACGGCAGACAAGAAGATCTCAGGCTTGGTCCAGATCAGCATGTTGTACACGCACGAGCCAGAGCCCGCATGCACTCGCTTGCCGAAAAACGGGTCGGGAAGCCAACCCCCGAGATCCACACACCGGATGTCGAGCCTGCCCGTCTGAAACCTCTCCCGCGACCGCTCGCACTCGACGGTGCCATTGTGATCCAGCTGCACGCTGATGACCGTCATCACGGTATTGTCCGTTTCGGTGACGTTGTGGGCGTGCGCGAAGAAGTTCAGCATCAGCTTCCTGTTGCGCACCTCGCCCACCGTGAGGTACGCCGGGCGGTCGAGGGACCTCACCGAGGCAGGTCTTTGGAACCCAACAGTGGAAACGAGTGATTCTGTCGACACCCACATTGACGGACTGGGGTCCCACGAATGATGAATGAGACCGGAGAAAAACCCCAATCATTAGGGCTATAGGGCTACCTGGCACCCGGGCACCCGGGCACCTGGGCACCCGGGCGTGCCGCCGAAATCGGCGCCACACCTAACCTGCAGTATGAATCTGCTAGGACCCTTACAGAGGCAAGCTTTGATTGTGGAAAATAGCCATCTCTCCGCGGCACCCGCCCGCGCAGCAACGACAGAGGAGGGGGGGAGGAGGAGGAAGGAGAGGAGGAGGAGGAGGAGGAGGAGGAGGAGGAGGAGGAGGAGGAGGAGGAGGAGGAGGAGGAGGAGGAGGAGGAGGGGGAGGCGGAGTGATCGGAGTCGATTCCCCGCCGAGAAAATACACGGGAAGGGGGGTGCGCAAAACTAAAGACCTACCTCGGTTACAGCAGCAGATATTACAAACATAAACTTTCGGACCTCCGACGCTTTGTCGTCAGACATCCATGTTTCATGGTCCCAGGCAGCGAAATCGGCTGCCCCTGCGGCCGACACGAAGCAAAAATGCCAGGACCAAAAACGTTTGCCGCTCGTGGGGACCTAAAGACGGTCGTCACGATGGTCTCGAACTGCGCGCGGTACCTGGCGGCGGCCCAAATGGACTCTGAGCTGATGGGATCGGTAGATCGCGCCGCATCGCAAATGCATCGGCGACGCAGGCGCGGAGAAGGTTGGGCTCCATCTCGAGCCGCATCTGCGAGGCGGGGATGTATCCTGTATCCATATCCACCGCCTGTGGACGCGACGACCTGGGACCTCAGCGGGCAGTGGACATGGATGTACATATATATATATATATATATATATATATATATATGAAGATGTGTGTATACACACATTCACGCAAATACGCAGTGAACATACACATGGATATATATATATACTAATTATAAACATCCATCCATCAATCCATCCATCCATCCATTCATACGTACATACATGAGTACAGACATGCATCCATACATACATACACACATATATATATATACACTTATCTACGTACCTACTTACCTACCTACCTACCTACCGACCGACCTACCTACATACATACACACGAATGTTGGCCCTGGGGGGGCGAGCATATCCGCATGTACCGCCTGCCGAGGCCTCCAAAGGTCGATCCCCCAGGCGGCGGTCATCGATAAGCCCCGCCTCGGAGCATCGCCGATGACGTGGCCAATGCGGCGCGACCCTCCGACCCTGTCGGTGGGTCACCTGGCTCCGCGCCTACCGCGCCCCGCGAGGCGCGACCCGCGCTCTCATCCTCTCGCCCTCGAGGCCAGGCGCCCTCGCGCCGCCCATCGGAGAACTGCAGCCACTCTGACCTGGCCTCTCCTCCTCCTCCTCCTCCTCCTCCTCCTCCTCCTCCTCCTCCTCCTCCTCGTTCTCCCTTTTTCTCCTTCTTGGCGGTGCGCAGAGTGTGGCAGGGGGCGGGGGGGAGGAGTCTTGGAAGGAGGCCGCCTCGCTTAGAAGGCGCCGGCCGCACATCTACAGGCAAGGCCCGCGCCTTCTGAGAAGCAGAAACGTTCCCCCCTCCCAAGAGTGCCCCAAATGGCCCCGAGAGGACCCCAAGAGGGACCCCAGGTGGCTCCAAGAGACCTCCGAGAAAACACTTCCAAGGCGGTTGCTACAGTGCACGCTTCTACACTTCCCTGATCAAGGCAACTCGCCCGGCGATCTGCTTCTGGATGGGCTGATGGGGACTAGCGAAGTATCAGAATTCTGAGGCGAATCCAGCGGTGGCGACGAGGGCCTCCCAGGAGGCCCGAAAAGGAAAAAACGAGGGAAAAGTAGCGGCATCGGCATCTTAGCTTTCTCTCCTCGGAACATCCGCGGCCCCTGGAACCCAAGAAAGGGGATCTACTGCCCCGGGTCAATCCAGACCCAGGTCAGTCGGGCCTAACCCGGGAGCCCGCGCAAACGCAGGCGGAGTAGAGGGGAGGAGGAGGAGGAGGAGGAGGAGGAGGAGAAGGAGGAGGAGGAGGAGGAGGAGGAGGAGGAGGAGGAGGAGGGGGAGGAGGAGGAGGAGGAGGAGGAGGAGGAGGAGGAGGAGGAGGAGGAAAAGGAGGAGGACGAGGAGGCGGAGGAGGAGGAGGAGGAGGAGGAGATGAGGGAGGAACCCAGCGTACCAAGCCGTCTTCTTCCACTGCTCACAAGCCCTGCAGCTTGGAGCACCTCTCTGATCCGCCGCGCGGATGGAGGGAGACGAAACGAGAGGAACAGCGGCAGCCGACGGCAGCAGCGGCAGCGCAGACAGCGAGGGCCCGCCTGTCGCGTCGCACTCGCAGGACACGTCGGGGCAGGCGCGGCCAGGAAGCCGCAGATGAGTTTCAATCCGAGAGCATCTTTCATTCAGAGGATGAGGGGGAGCAGCAACGGGACATGGGGAGACGGGCGTGACAGCCGCCTGGGCTGAGGACATGTGCACGGGCGATTGAGGAAAACTACCCCCGACAGCGGGGTGACCTGGGAAGACGGGCGCGGGTGAGCAGGGTGGCTGAAACGCGGAGGGAGGGGGGGCAGGAGGGGGGCAGGCAGCGGAAAGGGCAGAGCTCAACGGAGCGAAGGACGGGGTGAGGGAGGAAAAGGTAGAGAACTCACTAGGAAGATGCTGCGCAGGCCGAGCGGGCGATGACTGCATAGCGAAGAGGGGAGCGGGGGAGGTGCAAGCCTCGAGGGACGGACGAGTAGAGAGGACAGCGAGAGATCCTCGAGCGCGGCAGACGGCCTCGCAGCGGATGGGATGGGAGAATGGGCGAGCATTCGGGCGAGCGGCCTCGAGAATAGTTTCAGCCCTGCGCTCGCAGTCACCGTTATCAATAGCGGTCGTGCCAGGACCAGAAGTTAGCCGTGACATCCTCGAGCATGTGGCAATCCTCGACAGCGCGGAGGGGGAACCACTCGAGGCGATCCTCGACGACGGCTCAATCGATGGGGGCGCGGAACAGGAGCGTGGAGTAGTCCTCATCGGCAAACAGGCGGAAATAGACCTTGGCGACGCCACCCTCGGTGTCGGCTCAATCCTCGCCCAGGTGGCAATCGGGCAAGGCGCGGCATACTCCGTACACTAGCTGGGGACCCATTCCCGTCGTTCCACCCCAGGTGTAAAGAGACCAGCTGTTTCACCAGCGTCCAGCAACAATGGTGGCGACAGAGCCTGACGCAACGGGCTCGAGGAGCACCCGTGCGCAAGACTTTGCGTACTGCCAGATTGTCCACCAACGTCCAGCGGCAGCGGCGACATTTGAGCCTGCCGCAACGGGCTCGAGGAGCACCCGAGCGCAGGGCTTTGCGATCTGCCAGATATTCCGCCGACATCCAGCGACAGTGGCGACGCCTGAGCCTGCCGCAACGGGCTCGAGGAGCACCCGTGCACAGGACTTTGTTTTCTGCCAGGATCGATCCCATCTAAGTCGCTGAGAGGGCTAACTCGTTCTGGTGTGGCAATCAATGTCAGAGGTGTCGAGGGTGCGGGCTCACGGAGGGCTCCTTCGTCATCATTGTGCACTGTAGGCGCCAGCCGCGGCGTGAGGCATGGTGAAAGACCAGGGGCCAACCCTTCACTATCCACATCATCATCAGCGTCAACGTCACTATCTTGCTCAGCATCACGTTCAGCAGGACCGTCGGCCTCAGAAGTGGAGTGCTCGTCTGTGATCGAACGCAGGACAGGAATGCACGGTGGCGGCGCCTTCCATTTCTTATCAAGCTGGTCAGTTGGCGACGCCATTCGCAGCGTTCTGACAGCAACACGGGCAGCAGAGCGCAGAGCAGAGGGAGAGACCCAGTCGCGATACCTGATGGTGTGATACGTAGTGTACATGACTACAATCTCCTCAGCTCTTCCCACACACGGCGCAGTCAAGCACAGTCGCCCATGTAGAAGCGCAGGAGGCGAGCGTCCAAGAGCATGTCCCACGGCACGACACAGGCAGCGGCAACGGACGTAATGGCATTGTCTGTCTGCAGATCTGCTGCAGCCGAAAATGCAGCGCCGACGACCTGACGGGTAACAGATGCGATAACTTGTGAGCCACGCAGACGCCCATGTCTTGATCACGGGGAAGACCCAGCTCGTTGGAAGCAACTGCAGCAGCATCCGATTCGCCTCCCACGGCGCACGGTGTAGGAAGGGTTCGTACATGTCAAAGTAGCGGGCGAGCCTGGTCTCAAATATCGCGTGGAGCGGGTAGGGGGTCACGAACTGCTCGTAGAGCGCAGCTGTGGCTGCCCGTTGGTACTTGAGCTTTCGCCCAGTGACTGGCAGCTCCGTGGAGATCGCCGACGTGCAGCAGCGCAGAACTTCCGATGGATATCCAGCTCGAGCCGATCTCTCTTGCAGCCGAGAGTAAGTTTGCAAAATGGGTGGCATCTTCCAGTGTCGCCCCGCATCACGGAGCCAATCCAGCCGAGGTCGGATGGAAGCTATTGAGGCGTCATCAAACCGCCCATTCAGGATATCAGAGTTCCATGATTGTGTGGCAAGTGAAATCGTAGAACGTATGTGAGAGTGCTCGCCGAACGTGATGGTGGCAGCTCGAGCAAGAGAAGCAGCGCACGAGTGTTGCACGAAAGGGATTTTGGGGCCTCCCCAAGCGGCAAGCTGGGCCCAGCCAGAGGCAGGTAGAGTACCCATGGGAGCACGGAACGTTTGAGCAAGCACAGAGAGCTCGAAAGTGGCCATCCTGGGGGGCAGAGGGTAAAACTGGGCCATGTAGGACAAGACGGGGATAGCCCGCGATCGGTAGAGCACGCCATTGATCCCCAAAGGAGCTGAGCCTGAACCAAGAAGCCTGGCACGCAGCTTAAGTTTCATCCTCGCCGCGTCCCACTGCATTTGTATCGCGACATCTGGTCCCAGGAGAACGCCGAGGTACATCAGGTGCGCAACGATCTCGAACGCCTGCCAGTCAGGAACCAACCGGCAGAGAAGCTCACGGGTACTAGCGAGCAGGTCAGGACCGAACGTCGCGTGCAACGGGGTGACCTTGCATTTACTGACATTAAGGCAGAGTCCCGTGAGATGCCTCGTAGTTGTCATCGCACGGAAGAGCACCTGAAGACCCCGAGCCTCGAACAAGGCAGCCCCGATATCGTTGGCACAGGCCCTCGCGAGGCCAAGTCCAGCATCTTCCAAGGAATATCCCAAGTCAACCAGAAACGGGGCCGTGCTCAGAGCGTAAAGCGTCCCAGAGAGGCCGCAGCCTTGAATGATCCCAGACCTCAGCCAGTAAACAGAATGGAGCAGGCCACTGTGGGCCACAACACCTTCGATAGCAGAGTACAGCCAGGCCAGGAAGTATAGGACAGGCGCAGGCAAGCGCAGGTGGGCCAGGAAGAGCATCATGAACTCTTGGGAGAGGCTCGGGAAGGCCTGGCCGAAATCGAACGAGACCAGAAGCGGCAACCAGGTCGGAGCCATCGGATGGGCCCCAGCAATACGACTGAAGCTATCTAACTCTAAGATGTTGTGCCCGAAGTTACGGCCCTGCACGAAGCCGTGCTGCGACTGAAAGACGATGGCGTTCACAACTCCTCTAAGTGATCGGTCCACGGCAGACGTCAGAATTTTCAAGTCGGTGTTGCGGGGCCCGAGGACTCTGATCTTATCGGCAGATCTGATGCAGCCTCCAGAGGCCATGTCGTCGCGCTCCGATCCCATAGGCAAGTGCGCTTGGAGGGTGACGCTGGCCGCATCGAAGAGGGACTGGCCGCGCAAGGTCCAGTCCATCATGAGGCATAACACTTCCAGGCATCAGCCGGCAGCCGCCCAGGCCGCACACGGTAGCCCGTCGACACCAGGGGCAAAGTGGCGGGCACGAGTGACAATGGTTCGAATAGCAGCCTTCGACAGGGGAGGAACGTCGGGGAGCACAGGTGACGGGCACTGTTGTTCGATATATTTCTGAGCAGCTTCCAAGTCGACATCCGATCGCGAGAGGACAGGGCGCCAGTACTCAGTAAGGGCAGCGACTCGATCCCCAGGAGATTCTGCTAACCGAGGGCCATCCCGCACAGCGCGCAACACCAACCTCCGAGAGAAAGGGGCCCAGATCGCTGCTTGTCGTTCCAACGCCTGGCGACGACGAAACGAGGAGGGCGGGCGACTCGGGCGAATACCTGCAGCAGAGTCAGCAGCAACGCGTATTTCTTTTTCCAGGAGCCGCCTGTGGACTCCGTCCGTCCACATGTGGAACGATTCTGGGTGTCGAAGAGCAACTTGTGGGCCTTCGACGTCAAGTAAGCTGGCTGCGGTGGCCGATGTCGCCACCAAACGACGAGCAAGACGTGAGTCCCGCCGCCGCGCAGCACGGGCGCATCCCCGAGCGACCAGCAACGCAGTTTCATCTCCAGCAGGATCGGATATGAATATCCAGTCACGAACTTCTCTGGCAGCTTCCTTCCACATGTCCTCGAAGTGCTCCTGGTAGACCGACGTAGAGCACAACGTCTCAGCGCCATCTCCGCCCTTGAACATGCCTTCAATACGCTGCCGAAAAAGATGGCTCTCGAAGACATGGCGAGGTATGGGTTGCTCCGCCCGCGGCCGTGCATGACGTTGACGCAGTGCCGTTAGCAAGGCAGCATGGTCCGATATCAGGGATCGAGATAACACTTCTGGTTCACCAATGGTAGAAGACTCCGCACATAGCTGACATAACACCCACCCAGGCACCGAGCAGAAGAACCGATCCAGGCAACTGACCGAGTTGGCGTCCTTCGTGTAGTGCGTCGGCGACTCAGACGATATTTCTAGCAGTGAGCCCAGCGTTCTCAGCCACCGAGCGGCCATTGCACGATGATTACGAGGATCCGAGGCACGAGCAGGCTCAGGGCGATAGAAGAGCAAGGCCTCCTCAGGGCCAAAGTTGAGGTCACCCTGCACGATCGCCAAATAGTGAAGAGGGTCAGCCGCCGCACGTCCCCGAGCAGCGTCGATCTCAGCACATATCTCGTCGACCTGACGAGCACTGAGCCCATGATTGTGGATGTTGAAATGCACCGGCTGGAACCCTTGCCCGACGACGTCAACTCGAAGGACCCTTCCTTCCACGACGGCCGAGGCATTGCTGGTAACACCAAGATCGAAGGCGAGCTTCGGAAGAATACTGGCGACACCTCCCGCAGCCGATCCCCCATCATCAGCTGGACAAAACGAGGCGTGAACCACGGCATCACGATGAAGACGGCACATATAGTCTTCGAGTTGTAGGCGGTCTTGGTGCACTTCTTGAAGTGCCAGGATAGACCTTGGCAAGTGAAACTTCCTCGAATACGACGACTTGAGTCTACTCTGTGCTCCTCGGTGCTGTAACAGAGCGCGAGCATTCCAAGTGATGAATCGCATGGACTCGTTCTCGTTCCCACAGAAGGGGTGTCAAAGAGCTGCAAGAAGCCGTTACAGACACCACTTCGTCGGAGCAGGGGGCGCAGCAAGCTCGTCCGCCACCTGCTGCACGTCAGCGCGCGTGAGCGAGAGGTCCATGATGCCTTCCTCATTGAACTGCACGTCATACGGAGCGTCCTCAGGGTTCGCCTGGATCTTGAGCACATTGGTCCAGCCGCTCTTGAGGATGCCACGTTCACGGTCGATAGACCACCTCCCACCAGACTTCTCAGCACATGCTCCACGCATTTTACGAAGTACCATCTCTGTCTTGACCTGGCGAGGGGACCTGTCAGGCCCCAGGTGTAGGCGGGCCGCAGCGGCTGAGCCAGAGGCCTGCACGTTGAATATTATCCACTGGTCGTTGCTGCGAAGATCACTGAGGACCTTAGCGACCTTCTTAGAAGCGAGGCCTGTGGCCCCGTTGAACTCAATGAGGAACCTGCGAGCAGGCGTCGGCGTCGGGCAAGAGAGAGTGCACTGGTCAGCTTCGAAACCGAGCTCGGCGAAGAACGGCGACAATACGTCACGGACTTGCGGGAGTCCCACCATCTTGGTGCACATCGCAACCACCACAGCTGGGTCTGTCTGGCGGTCGAAGCTGGCAGGGAGCGAAGGGGCGGCTCCCTGTCGCTTGGCCATGTGCAGTCCGTCACGCAGCTCAGCAATCTCCGCACGCAGCTGGCGCAGCTGCTCCGTGTGTGAGTCCAACTCGATGTTGAGTGTCGCAACATTACCTGTAACATCATCAATCTGGCGCTGCATCTTCCGCGAGAGTTCATCCAGTTGTGGCCTGAACACTCCCATGGCTTTTTGATCCAACTCTGCAGGTTGTTCTTCCAAGTGCTTTTTGAGAACCTCCAAAAGCGCAGGATGTTGGCATTGCTGGCTTTGACCGTGTCTCCAACCGTCGAGGCGACAAGATTCTCCAGCTCCGTGCGTAACTCATTGAACTGGGATGCGACGCCGTCGGCGACCACAGACTTGATATACTCGTCGGAGTACTCCAGGGTGCCAGGAGTGGCGGATGAACACCACGAGTTATCCCCTGCGTGGACACCAGCAGCAGGAGGAGGACCACCAGGAGCAGGAGGAGTCGCAGTGCCCGTTTGCAGCTCATGGCGGCCGAAGACAAGCGCGGCCCCAACAGCTGCAGCACGGGAGGCAATGCCGGCGACACCCTTGCCACTGCTAGAGGAACCCTTGCCTTCCTCGGTACGCGGGTACTTGAGCTCGGGCGAAACTTGGACCCGATGGCCATCAGCACGCTCATCATCAGGGAAGGTGGGCATATCTTCGATCTCCTGGGCGCATCGGGCGAGAGCAGCAGCATCTGGGAGCCCCATGACAACCGGGACGATCGCTCGCACAGGAACGGGCAAGGCCTCCGTTTGCCCGTGGGCGCGAGCGTCGGAGCGATGAACGATCTCTGCCAGACCACCAAGGGTCTTGTCTGCCGCGGACTAGCGGTATCCACTTGTTCCACTGAGGAACCATGCGTAGTGAGCCAAAATGGCTACGGAGGGAGAAAAGGGAGGAAGAGGAGGAGGAGGAGGAGGAGGAGGAGGAGGAAGAGAAGGAGGAGGAAAAGGAAGAGCACCGCCGCTGGAGCCTCAGCGCCAGCCGGGGGCGCGAGTCGGCGTCGCAGTCCGCGGGGTCCTCCGCCGTGCCGCCGTCCTCGCCGCCCTCGCCGGGCCGGGGCAGGCCAGAGCCAGGGCTCAGGAGCGAGAGGCCACTGGGGAGAGAAATTCAGTCAGCAGCAGCAGCAGCAGCAGGAGTGGGAGGGGAGGAGGAGGAGGAGGAGGAGGAGGAGGAGAAGGAGGAGGAGGAGGAGGAGGAGGAGGAGGAGGACTTTTTCTTCCTCCCTTATCCCACATCCATGCTCCTCCTCCTCTTCCCTCCTCCTCCCTCCTCTCACCTGACTCCTCTCTGAGGAGGAAGACATCCTTTTCCTCCTCCCTCCCCCATCCCTCCTCCTCCTCTTCCCTCCTTCCTCCCTCCTCCTCCCTCACTCCTCTCTCCTCCCCGAACTCGCGCGAGTGGAGGGAGGAGGGAGCGGGGGGAGAAAGGAGGAGGAGGAAAAGGACAACTGGGAGCGAGGATGGGGGGAAGGGAGGAAGAGGAGGGGCAGAAACGGAGGAGTAGGACGGGCATGGGAGGATACGTTCCCTCAGAAGCAATGCTTAGACAAAGGGTTCTGATATCTTTATCCACTCAGTGCCTGCGCTTGTCTTACATGGGTTGACCGATAATTTGATAGCTCCACCGAGGTATCGCCCGGTGGGCGGCCGTGGGGGCCCCGTGGGGCCAGCGGTCGCTTGCGCCGCGTAGCGTGCACCCCGCAGCCTGCCCATCATATCTTGCACCACGTAGCTTCCAACAGTACTGTTATGTCGGAGGTTGGGGGGTGAGATCGCAGTGTAACGGAGTCCACCCACCGGGAAATCGTGTTTCGAGTTCGTGCTAGTGCCGTGCGTGCGGGCGAGGCGAAGCTGCGTGGGCCAGCGAGAGGAATTCACCCTGCTGTCGCTAGGGGTCCGCCAACAGAAATGTTTCCCCCCCCCGGCCTTGTCAAGCGGTAGCCCACGTTGTCCGGTCGGTTGCCCGCCGGTTGCTCATCATGGTTGCTCATCATGGTTGCTCATCATGGTTGCTCATCATTGTCCCGCCGGTTGCTCATCATGGTTGCTCATCATGGTTGCTCATCATTGTCCCTGCTGAGCAAGTGGCACCGCCCGCCACAAACAGCCAGTCGTCTCCACCGACGCTGGGCGGAGGGTGCTCGTCGACGCCAGGCACTGCCAGCGCGACTCCCAAGCCAGGATAGGAGAGGTCCGGACGCACGCACCAGGCACTGCCAGTGCACCCATCGTCGACTGGGACGTCGTGGGCTGAGTGCCGCGTCGCGCAGCGGCAAACCGAACGACACAAGCCGCCCAAGCGAAGGAACAACATCAAATCCGCCACGTCATCCACACCATCATCGCCCATTAGCACCACGTTCATCACAGTTGTCGTCATGAGCCACCCCCCTCCCCCCACCCCCCCACAACCTCCTTATCACCCGCAGGGTGGTCGTATAGGTACGCCATGTATCGTAGCACGTATGTTCTCTGTCCCGAGACGGCTTAGGAATTACCCCCCCCTCCCCCCATCAATGCCGGACTTAACGGCACCGCTGCGCGCATGTTTCCCAACATGTCTTATGTACGAACGATCATGTAACATACCAAGTGGTGCCGTTAGGACCACCCTTCGGGTGATAAGAGGGTTGGGAGGGGAAGGGGGAGGCGGTCGATTTGCGATGAGTCACGCCTGCCGCCAACGTCGGGA